CTTGCTGATTCCCATGGTGTGCATGCACCCACTGTGCTGATTGCAGGCTCGTTGCTGTGTCACGAGTGCAGAGCGGGAAGAGGTGCACACGCGCACACATGGGGCTCCTTGCACTGATGCCCAGGTCTGCGCCCCACTGTGTGTTGGCTCCATTCTCAGGCAGGTGATCTCATGCTGGCAAGAGGCTGCCAGCAGCTCTGGTTTAATCTTCTCAGCAACCCGGCAGAAGGGAGCTGCTCTTCCCACTGGTTTCCTTATAGGCCATTCTGCCCTCTCTCCCATGTAGAGCCCTGTTTCTTAATCTTGGCTCCACATCGAGTCATCTGGGGGAATTTTGAACATCCCAGTGCTTGGCCCCTTGGAACCACGGCCTTGGAGGATGTCATTTTCGAATTAATGGCCTTCAGGGTCAGCCAATATGTTGCAAATGTGCCAGCATTCTCTGATTCTCCACCAGCAGTAGCCGTCTCAAGTCAATCAACGTCACCTTTTTTTTCCTTAAATTCAGATTTGGTCTCGGCACTTGCCTCTCTAAATAGGTCCCACCAATGAAGAGGACGGGTTGGGGGCAGGGAGGGCAGTGGAAGCTGTTCACCATCACTGTGCCCACCCACCCTGCCCTCTCCAGGATCCAACGTGAGTGTTAATACATCTCACCTCTTCACCTTCCACTGAAACGTGGCCTTTTCCTCTCTGTCCAGCACCCTCTCCCTCTTCTCATCACGAGGCTCCATCGCAGTCACGCTTGTCTCTGATGTGCCCCCACCTGACCACTTTCTGATCCTCTCTGCTCATCCGATTTCCTTTTCTGGAAATGCCACTCCCCTTATCCTCATCAGTCCAGATGTTGCATTTATTGTGAGAGCCAGCTCTTCTCCTGTCACTTAAATCTAATCACCCTTGCCCTTTCAGTTTCCTAAACTCCTGTTACTAATGATGAGTAGTAGCCAAGGTCTAGCGTTCCACTGTTTGCTCTCACGAGGGAGTTTGCTGTTCTGTCTTGTGTATGTAGTCTGACCACACAGAGAGGATGATCTGCAATTTAAAACTGGTTTTAGTATGTGTTGGCCAAGTACACAGTCGGTGTTTAATCAACACCTGTTGCCAGATTCTGTCCAAATCCTCTGAGGCATGATTTCAGAGTGATAGCAAGTTAACGTAGATGGGAACAGTATTCTCTGAGAAGGAACAACGTTTGGAGAAGTGATGTTACATACTACATAGGAGGAAGAGGATGATAATTATTGTTACTCCCCTTTCTTCCAGAAGTGACCCACACACTCTGCTCATGATGCGTTGGTGAGGACTGGTCATATGGCCCCACCTAGATGCAAAGGGGTCTGGGAAGGGCTGTGTCTGGCTGGGCTGCTGCCGCAGCAAGAATGCTAATGCTGTGGCAGGGAGCATGGTTCATGCTGCTGTTCTGGGCGCTCACTTCAATGCACATGGTTTCCATCTTCTAAGCCATTTGTGCGGCTCCTTAGAAAGGAACCTCATACCCACCCAGTACTCTTATTTTTGGGTTTGTGCTCTTAGAGTCTCAGAAGGAATGCTTCTAAGGATGTGGCAAAGGTATGTCTGTCAAAAATAATCGATTTTCTAGTCAGTCATTAATTGGGATGAAGAGACCATGTTGTCCTTCTCCCTTTTCTGAAAGGTGTTTCTGGTTCCCCTTGTAACACCCCAATTCATACACACATACATTTACATACACATACATGTATATACACACATGTATATATGCATACATACACATCTATCTATCTACCTGTCTATCTCTCTATCATCTATCTATCTATCTAGAGTTGATTGACTTGAAGGAATTGGCTCAAGCTATTGTGGAGGCTGGAAGCTTCAAAATCTGCCGAGTAGAATGAGGCCCAACCACATTATGGAGGGTAGTTTGCTTTACTCCAAGTGT